AAATGGTAGTAGACGATTAAGAATCATGCTAATACTATGTTCCAAAAGAGTTTATGCAATAGACTTTGTCTTGTAGCAGTCTGAATATAAACAGTCTATACAGGAACATTCTTTATCTGGGTGTGACCTCTGTTAGTATTATCTTCGTAAACTGGTACAGTCATAAAATCTTGACTGTAGGTCCTTATCTAGGTCATAAGCTTTGTATTATCACTGAAATACATTTTATAATAGCATAGATTCATAATTTTTCTCTTACAGCTTTTCCTCATGTTCTTTCCACATGCACTCACACACACCTGCTTCTTTGCCAGAAAGGAAGTGTGTTCAAATAATAGTAGTTAGAAATAGGGTTGACTCCCATTAGTTTCATGGAGATTCAATATTCTGTTAACAGACCACAGATCATGTAATTTTTTTCCATGGGTTTTATTGAGGTTTCTAATATGAAAATGTACATGTTATATCTACATGACCAAAGCTGTTAAGACAGTAAAGATTTTACCAGCAGAAAGTGCATTCACTGGGTTTTGTTACACAACCTAATCTGTATAAACGAGTACAAAGTGTTTGGCTCCATGATTCTGCCATACTTAACCTGGCTGCTTATGTAAAAATCTCTGTTACATGAATTAAAATGACTTGGGATTCTATCCAAAGTAAGCCCAGTGAGGGTCCGTTTTGTCTAACAGACACATAAGAAGCATGTGGCACATGTACTGTATCTGACAGAGAAGTGATATTCTTTCAATACATGGACAATTGGCTGCTTAGTGGCTACATGGTTTCAGATGGTGGAGATGAGTTGTGCATACTTAACTGCACACATAATGGGGATGAGGCTTCAAAGGTAAAGGATTGTCCCTTTGTGGTGGATTACCTGGTATTTCTCTGGCAGAGGACAATTTTAGAAGGAAAAGCAGAGATTTGCTTCATTGTACTAAGTTTAATTCCTTTAGAATCACACATTCATGAGTTTTTGTTTCATCATTGTTACTTTTATTAAAGTTATTTTTTTGTCGGAAGTGAAAGAACACAACTCTAGCTTTTTTAATATTTCCCTTATGGCATCAGGGAGCATAAATGTGATGGATCACCTTTAAAGATCCAGGAAGTTTAATAGAAACTCACTTGTTATACATGTGCATCTGTTAAAGGATTACAGTTTCTGTGTATATCAACACTTCTTCAGAACAATGGTGCCTGCTGCAATCGAAACCTGTTAAAGAACAGATCAGTTACCAATAACTTGCTGATTAACTATTAGTGAGTTTGGTGCTTAAGAAATGTGCCAGACTGCAGTATTGGAGGCAGACACCCTGGCCAAGACCCTCAAAGGTGTTTAGACACCTGACTCCCAATGATTTCAGTGGAAGGTAGAAGCCTAAATACCTTAGAGGATCTAGGCCCCTTTGACACAGTTGGTATGACATACGTAGTGACAAATGCAAGCTTTCTCCAAATTGCGCTGTGAATGTGTTTCAGAGTGATAGTTTCTACACATGAGAAGGTTGTTTAGTCTCCGTGACATTTAGATGTTGGGACAACTCAATGTTGTTCAATGGAATTCATCTTGCAGTGCAAGAAGTCTCCTGCAAGATAGGGCCAATGTTAATTTTAAGGCCACCAAACTAAACCCCATACAGGTGGTAATGAGGTTTGGTTGCTGGTGATCTGATCAATACCTAAATCAATGTCCAAGTGATGAGAAGTGTCACACTCCATTACTAACTAGTATTGCCAACTTCACGAGGTTGAAAACCATGGGTTAGAACACAAAAAAATCATGATTGGCCTAAAACTTATGAGCTTAAAAAAGAATCAGTTGCTTTTGCCAACTTTCTGACTTTTTTGAACTTCCTCTTCCTGCCCATGGTGTGTGCACGTGACAAGTACAGGATGAATTTTCAACCTATAACACATACAAAATGTGAACACATGAATATGTAGGCACCAGTTCCACTGTGCACCTGACGCCTGCCCTCACCCCTCCCACTGCCCAGAGACCTCTCTGCTCCCCTCTGGCAGACTCCTATAGCCCCTCCCATGCCACTCCAACTCAGTCCCAGCAGGCTCATTTAGATCCCCTGGGTGGCTCCTGCAGTCTGCCCCCTCCCCATCCCACCTTGCGTTCAGCCATGCCAGGCGGTGTGGCTGGGAGCCAGGGGAGTGGAGCAGGCTAGAACCGGGTCGCTCCACTTACCACGCGGTGAGTGCAGGGTCGGGCCTGGCTGCAATCTTCAGGGGAGTGGGGGCGGAGCAGGGGTGGGGACGGGACGGGGCTGGGGCAGAGCAGGGGCGGGAGCCTGCGGAAGAGCCAGAGCAAGGGCTAGAGCAGCACGCAGGTGTGCAGGGCACTCAGAAATTTGGGGCACCAAATTTCCGGGTGCCCTACGCAGCTGTGTGCTTTGCGTATGGGTAAGGATGGCCCTCTCTAGCAACGGACAGGGAAACAGCACGCAGCTCAGGAAAAATTCCCTCGGCCATCAGCATTTTCTCATGAGAGCCCCTAAAAGAGGGGCCAGAATCATGACACTTGCAGTAACAGTGTGAGTATTGGTGACATTGTAATCCCCTAACCCAGCCACACACAGCGGAAGTAGCAGCCTCCTTTTCTACAAAGATGGTTAACTTTTTTCATGGCAGTATTTCCTAAACTTTTTAATAGGAAAAATAAATGCAAACAAGCTGCTGGGATCCAATTGCTTTTTGGACCTCTGCATTTCAGTACTATAGTGGGATGTACAATGTACTCCAGGGGGCTCTTTTTTTCTAACTAGCCAGTAGATGTCACTGCTGCTACAGAAGAAATCCCACAGATATAATTTTCTGACAGCTGGGAGGCAAGTGAGGGTTCCTACTCCCCTCATAACAAAGTGACACACTCAGAGCTAAAGTCACCCTTCATGGGGCCTGGCTTATTAACAAAGACTCTTTCAAAATAATAGTACAGGACACCGCAGCTAAAACCTTCTTCTCAGGCGTGGCTGCCAATTACTTTACACCAGGCTTTACTGTCTTCCCCTCAGACTATCCCCATCCCAAACCCTAGTTTTCTCTGCCTAAGGCCTACTCTCACCTCCCTTACATCCAGAGTCAGCTGTATAGATGTGTCAGCAGAATCTCTATCCCACTAGCACAGTGAGGTGTTACTCAGCTAAATCAAAGGGAGTTTAAAATGGACAGTTTCATACTTTTCTATTGCACTCTGATCCATTGTGTACCAGGCAGTATAAAAGCCAGGGTGATGATGGCAACTGGCCCCTGTCTCATTGTTTTGCTACCATTCAATAAGATTATGAATGAGATTTATGCAGGAAAAATGTCCAGATGCTAAAATACAGTTAACAAATATACTTTTATTTGCTAAGGTTGTTTACATATTCCTAATTCATAAAAGGTATATCCTCTATTCTGGACATCATTTTGGAACCTTAATTTTCAATTATTTTACTATGATGTCTGGTTTATAGATTCAAAAGAAGGGACCACTATGACCATGTATAATGACAGGTTTCAGAGTAGCAGCCGTGTTAGTCTGTATCTGCAAAAAGAAAAGGAGTATTTGTGGCACCTTAGAGACTTACAAATTTATTTGAGCATAAGCTTTCGTGAGCTACAGCTCACTTCGTCGGATGCATGCAGTGGAAAATATAGTGGGGAGATTTATATACACAGAGAACATGAAACAATGGGTGTTACCATACACATCATCAAGGATCTACAACCTATCCTGGAGGACGACCCATCACTCTCACAGATCTTGGGAGACAGGCCAGTCCTTGCTTACAGACAGTCCCCCAACCTGAAGCAAATACTCACCAGCAACCACACAATAGAACCACTAACCCAGGAACCTATCCTTGCAACAAAGCCCGTTGCCAACTGTGTCCACACATCTATTCAAGGGACACCATCATAGGATCTAATCACATCAGCCACACTATCAGAGGCTTGTTCACCTGCACATCTACTAATGTGATATACGCCATCATGTGCCAGCAATGCCCCTCTGCCATGTACATTGGCCAAACTGGACAGTCTCTACGTAAAAGAATAAATGGACACAAATCAGACATCAAGAATTATAACATTCAAAAATCAGTTGGAGAACACTTCAGTCTCTTTGGTCACTCGATTACAGACCTAAAAGTGGCAATTCTTCAACAAAAAACCTTCAAAAACAGACTCCAACAAGAGACTGCTGAATTGGAATTAATTTGCAAACTGGATACAATTAACTTCGGCTTGAATAAAGACAGGGAGTGGATGTGTCATTACACAAAGTAAAACTATTTCCCTGTGTTTATTTCCCCCCCTACTGTTCCTCACATGTTCTTGTCAACTGCTGGAAATGGCCCACCTTGATTATCGCTTCAAAAGGTTTCACCCCCCTCCCCCACTCTCCTGGTGGTAATAGTTCACCTTACCTGATCACTCTTGTTACAGTGTTTATGGTAACACCCATTGTTTCATGTTTCTGTGTATATAAATCTCCCCACTGTATTTTCTACTGCATGCAGCCGATGAAGTGAGCTGTAGCTCACAAAAGCTTATGCTCAAATAAATTTGTTAGTCTTTAAAGTGCCACAAGTCCTCCTTTTCTTTTTACGACTATGTAGTTTGATCTTCTGCATAACACAGTGATTCCTATAGTGGAAGAAATTATTCTTCATCACTGCATAAGAGAACAGTATCAAGCACAATAAATTAGTTCTTAGCCTTTAGGCAGGACCCTTCTAAATCCCCCTCCAGTCTATCCCTTTAGCAATATGGAAAGGGTATAGTGCTCACAACCTCCTGACATTTGTTTGTGGAGGACTGAGAATCCCTGAACTAGAGCATATCTTTTAGAGCAGGAGTGAGCAAACTTTTTGGGCCGAGGGCCACATCTGGGTGGGGAAATTGTATGCAGATCTGTGGTAGGGGGTTTGGGTACGGGAGGGGGTGTGGTGTGCAGGAATGGGATCAGGGCAAGGGATTGGGGCAGAGGAGGGGTGGTTGTGTATGAGGGGGCTCAAGGCAGGGGGTTGGGGTGCAGGAGTGGTGCGGGGTGCGGCAGGGGGCTCAGGGCAGGGGGTTGGAGTGCGGAGTGCCGCAGGGGATTGGGGAGCAGGAGCGGTGTGAGGTGCAGGCAGGGGGCTCAGGGCAGGGAGTTGGGGAGCAGGAGCAGTGCGAGGTGCAGGCAGGAGGCTCAGGGCAGGGAGTTGGGGTGCAGGAGGGGTGCAGGGTGCGGCACAGGGCAGGGGTGAAGGAGGGGTGTGGCAGGGGGCTCAGGGCAGGGAGCTGGGGTACAGGAGGCATGCGGGGTGTGGCAGGGGGCTCATGGCAGGGGGTTGGGGTACAGGAGGGGTGCAAGGTGCAGGCAGGGGGCTCAGAGCAGGGAGTTGGGGAGCGGGGTGCAGGAGGGGTTTGGGCTCTGGCCTGGTGCCGCTTACCTAAGGCAGCTCTGGGGTGGCAGTGGCGCGCACCAGGGCCAGGGCTGGGTCCCTGTATGCCTGCCCTGGCCCCACGCCGCGATGCAAAGCAGCCAGAACCATGTCCCTGCGCGGCCCCTGGGGAAGGGAGGGGCACAGGGCTCTGCGTGTTGCCCTTGCCACGCCTCCAGGTACGTCCCCCGAAGCTCCCATTGGCCATGGTTCCCTGTTCCCGGCCAATGGGAGCTGCGGGGGGCGGTGTCTGGAGGACAGGGCAGCACATGGAGCCCTCTGCCTGCCCCCGGGCCTCAGGGATGTGGTGCCGGCTGCTTCTGAGAGTGGCGCAGGCAGTAGTTTGCCCACCCATGTCTTAGAGAGACATCCAGTATCAATTGAAAGGCTCCAAGTGGTGGTGAATTTACTACATGCCCCGGTAAGCTGTTCCAATGGTTCAAAAGTTGTTTTCACTGTTAAAAAGTTGTCATTTCCAAATTGAATTTTTCTGCCTTCAACTTCTGTCTGTGTATCTTGTGAAGCCTTTGCTAGATTACAGAGCTCCCTCATATCAGATATCTTCTCTGTGTGTAGATATTTAGAGAGCACAATCAAGTCACCTCTTACACTCCTCTTTGATAAGTTCAGTCTATTTAGCTTGTCTTTCATTGGAAGGTGTGGTTTTCTGGACCTCAAGCCAGCCATTTAGTAAAGTGCACATTTAATGGGTCTTCATTTAATACTGAGTTCTTTAAGTACATCTGAGAGTGTTAAGGATCTTAAGGCAGATAAGGTAACTGCACTTAAGGAGGATGATAATACTGTGCATTTACATTGCACCTTTCATCTCAGGATTTCAAAACACTCTGCACTCATTACTTAAGTCACACATTACCCCTGTGAGCTAGGTAAGTCTTAACACTCATTTTGCAGATGAAGAGAGTGAGGCACAGAGGTCCTGAGTTGTGCAAGGTCACTTAGTAAGTCTGTGGCCCTGCAGGAAATACTACCAAGGAGTCCTTACTCCCAGCTACCCTCTAACCATTAAGCTACAATCTTCCCCTTGTACTGTAATACAGGCTAATTGAACACTGTCAAATGCACCTGCCTCCTGTTTGTCAATCAGGAAACAGTAACAGCTCTCTGTGGCAGGCAAATGTGCCAGGATAGTAGTGGGGAGGACAGCCACTTTTTAAACTTTACACTGAATTTTGGAGATAGCTCTGAAAATGAGGCCATTCATCTTCCTGACTACAGAGTATGCATAAATATTTCATCTCCACACACCCACCTTTCCGGTATGTCTACACATTGGCTGGGGGCATGAGTCCCAGCTCCAGTAGACAGATGCATGCTCAACTCTGCTCGAGCTAGCGCACTAAAAATAGCACTTTGGCTGCAGTGACTTGGTCTAGCTGCCCAAGTACATACCGAGGGGGTTAGGCGAGTTTGTACTTGGGCAGCTAGCCCAAGCCACTGCCCGTGCTGCTGCAGCCACGCTGCTAGTTTTAGCACGCTCGCATGAGCAGAGGTAGTGTGGGTCTGTCTGCTTGTGCTGGGAAGCACCTTCCCAGCTGCTGCACTGACAACAGTGACTACACCTGTTAAAGTAGTCTGGTCACTGTATTTCTTATAGAAGCGGATAGTATAATAGCAGAGGGTCAAGAGCCATCTCAGTACACATGGAAATAGCCACCCTGAAGGGATGGACAATACATGAGATTCTCTTTGCAAAGATTCTTTCAAATATTCCTGTCAGGGGAGGATGTGCCCTCATCATAGCGTGATGTGATAGTCACATAAAATGTGTCCAGAAATGCTCCCCACCCTCTGTATGACCCAATTTTGGTATAATTGTTCTGGTACACTTCAAGCCTGGCTGTAAGCGGGCCTTTCACTTATGCCACCACATACACATTCTCTAAGGCAGTGGTTCTCAAACTTTTTTCATTTGCGGATCCCTAAAATTTTTTGAATGGAGGTGCATACCCCTTTGAAAATCTTAGACACAATCTGCAGACCTCCACGGACCACAGGTTGAAAACTACTGCTCTAAGGAACTATATTTTATTGTCTTCCTCTGACCTTTAATTAATACATATTTAGAAATCTATATCTAAATACACTCACTGGGGCAGAGTTCATTCCTATTGTGTGGAAGGGTATGTCTGGTTCTGGGGATTATTGGTACACTGTAGCTATAGGGGGCAAAGGAGTCTGCCAATGCATAGGCAAGTGTCAGATTGTTAGTGTCACCTCTGACTGCAAGCCTCTCCAGTTCTTCCAAATCAAACTGTTTGTTTTCTTGGCACAAGTGTTCCATTCATAGCTTAGTTCAGGAAATGTGTACTAGCCATTACAGTGTGGCTTGTAAGATGCAATTAAACTTAAATGACGGGAAAGGAAAATGTACTCTAATTATTCACTTTCCTGCCTTGAAAAGATCAGTTGCTTTATGCAGCTTTGTGTGAAGAGCTCACCTAATGTAGTGCAGCATATTTGCTCCAGCTTTAGGGGAACTTGCTAGGGCTATGTCCTAGTTGTAGGAAGGAGGAAAAAGTATATTATCCTCCGTCTACTTTACAGTGCAAGTTTAGAAACAATTGTATTCTCAAACCCACCATACTCCAGTTACCTTTGGTAGAAGAGAAGTCTTTATAAATATGGTAAAAATATTTAGCATTTAGAAAAAATACTGATACCTTTTCTAATAAAATGAACAATGCTGCTGGAAATCAATACAAACACAATATCAAAGGTTTCTATAGTACATGACAATGCAACTTGGTATCTCTAAAAGTGCATGATTCTGGGGGAATTTATAAATAAACAGGGTACATTTTCAAACAGTTCAAGTGTCATACTTTGACTACATGAAATACCATATCTTGTAGATCTGCCTTTAACAAGCAGCATGTTCCCAGGTTAACGTAAAAAAAAGTAAGTTACAGAAGACATTAGAGTGAATATATAAACTGAAGTCTTTTTTTCTTTCCATATCTAATTAGCTCATAACCACTGAAGATTTCTGTCTATCTCTCCAGTTATGTTCCACATAATGGAAAGAGGAAGTCTTACTCACTGTAAAATATGTACATTAGCATAGCAGTCCTGAGACTGAGCCCTGAGTTTTCAGGAATCTTGGTCAAAGCCAGTTCCCCTTTAAATACTTTGAACTTTAAAGCTCTTATTTGTCACGTAAATACGTGTTTCCTGTTTTCACATGATAGTTCTACAGATTACATTTTTAAAGCCTTTCTACCTCATTCATAATTTCCCTTGAAACTGGAAAGTTTTTTTCTTTGAAAAATCATGGACTCACTTTTTTTTCCACCCCAAATAAAAACAGCCTGATGTGGTATTATGAGTGAATATGAAGGATCTTTTTGAACGTGTTCTTGAAGTTCTCATTACAGAGGGGATAGATGAATGGATTTAAAGTGGAGTTCACATAACCAAGCCAAATAGTGAACATATGGAAACTGTGGTTGCAACAGCTTTGACAATAGGCTATTACCATAAACAGCACAAAATAGGGAATCCAGCACAGCATAAAGGCTGCCATTATGAAACCCAGCTGCTTGGCTGCTTTCCTCTCCCTGTTCACATGCACCCCTTGCATGGACTGGGTGCGCAGTCTCAGCCAGGTGCTCTTCAGGTAACTGAGGCCTGCAAAGTCTTTGTTAGTCTTTTCCTCAGCCCTAGAAGTTGCTGGGATCGGGGTGGGATCGGAGTCATTTTTACAGGAGGCCCCCTCCATGAAAGTGTGCTCATCTGATGTGTCACTTAACTCTGGAGCCTGTGAGCAAGGCCCCTTCTTGACAGACACATACTTCAGTCCCACTTTATCTGATCCTGGCTGAGTCTGGGCAATGGCAAGGGGAAAACAGCTCAGTTTTACTACCTTGCTGTCATCTTCTGTAATGCAAGCCTTTGGGGGTTTGTCAAAGCTGCTGTGTTGAAGCTTCGCCCCCATACCTTTGGGCTGAGGGAAGTAGAGATTTACATTACAGCAAGGGTCTACAGAGCTTCCTTTCAAAAGACCTGTGTTTATACCTTTATTTGGCTTTTTGTGGAGAATGTTTTGCTTTTCCTGCACCTTATCATGATGTATACTTTTGTTTTCTGAGAAAGACCGAAACGATCCATTGATGAGCTCTCGGTGCTGATAGTGTTTCCGGACAGCCTTGTATATTTTTGCATAGAACCATAACATCAGTAAAGATGGGATATAGAAGTTGACAATGGCCGTCAACACTTTAAACCAGGTGACTTCTGAGAACTCTGTTTCACAGGTCCATTCTTCCACTTGCCATCTCCCATCATTGGCAAAAGCATGCCAGCCTAGAATTGGGATGATCCACAGAAAAGAAACCAGCCAAGCTCCAGAAATCATTACCAATGCTCGAGTTTTGGTCCGGTACTTGAGATACTTGAGTGGCTGCTGAACTGAACGGTAACGATCTATGCACAATATAAAAAGGCTGAAGATGGAGGCTGTGGAGGCTACATAATCCATTGAGAGCCAGAACAGACAGGCTGGTCTGCCCAGTACCCATCTGCCATTCAGTAGGTACATAATGTTCAGTGGCATAACAGCTGCACCAACTATAAGGTCTGCGACTGATAGGCTGACAATATACAGGTTCCCAACTGTATGCAGCTTTCTTTCTGTTTTCACTGCATATAGGACCAAAATATTCATGATGACTGTGATCAGTGAGATGCTGCCCAGGCCCAGACCTAGTGGGATTGAGTGAACCTCTGTTAAGTTCTTTGTTGTATCTTTACTGATCTCACACATCTTTTGCTCAAGGTCACAGAGCAGAAATCAGGGCAGATGTCAGGATCCTGGTAATTCACTCTTGTTTATAAGCCTGGTTGAGTTTATAGTGTGTTGCTTTCTGGTTCTTTTGGTGACTCTGTAAGAGGAAAAAAATAGCATCATAGAAATGTAAGACTAGAAGGGACTTAAGAGGACATCTAGTCCATCTTCCTGCCCCTCTCCTCCACTGACGTAGGACCAACTAAACCTAGACCATCCCTGACAGATGTTTATCTAACCTGCTCTTCAAAACCTCCAGTGACAGGGATTCCACAACCTCCCTTGGTTCAATAATTGCAATAAAATAAAAATAATACTGCACACTTTAGTGTAATATCTTCCCTTTGACAGGGCTTTTCAAATATTAATCAATTTTAACTAAGGCTTGGAAAGGTCAAGTGAGTTGTATGGGGAATATATATATGGCCTTAATGATGTTGACAGCTTTAGCTGGGATTCTATAGGTCTGAAGAATATTCCACAATGTATGTCTATGCAGCCTATCAGATAACTTTGAAAATCATTGAAACTGATGATGGGGTGGGGGAGATGAGGGGGAGGCTACCATTCTATACATCCTCTGATGATTATCTTCAGTTTAAATATCTGATCTACACCAGGATCTCTTGCACCTGAATCCAGCTTGTTCTTCTCTAATCTTTACATCCACTGCCTCTTTCATCCTGCGTGATATCATGCTTCAGAAGACTTTCCCTACAACAGAAAGTAGTGTAACTCCTTGAGGAATTCCACCATGCTTTCAACAATTTCTATCCCACCATCAGCTTCAGCCTGGACCAGTCCACACAAGAGATCCACTTCCTGGACACTACGGTGCTAATAAGCGATGGTCACATAAACACCACCCTATACCGGAAACCTACTGACCACTATACTTACCTACATGCCTCCAGCTTTCATCCAGACCACACCACATGATCCACTGTCTACAGCGAAGCTCTAAGATACAACTGCATTTACTGCAACCCCTCAGACAGAGACAAACACCTACAAGATCTCTACCAAGCGTTCTTACAACTACAATACCCACCTGCTGTATGGTAAAATCTGTTTACTGACATTTACCAATTAAAAATCTAATCTTTCCAAGCTAGTGTTATAGAAAGTGAGATTATTTAACCTAGGGTTGTTTTAGGTGTTTGAAAAGTTATCCTAAAGGAACTGTTCTCAAATAATTTCCCTTTATTTGCACACCTACTAGATGCCTGTTGGAGTTAAAAAAACAACAGTGCAAGAATGAGGTATAGGTGTCCTTCTGCTAATAAAAGCTGAAAAAAGAAGACAAACCCCAAAAGCTTGTTATATCCATTTAGCTTAACTCAGTAAGAAACTGATTTAAGCTATTTGGATATAAACCAGGTTTAAATGAACTCAAGAGTATTTCATAGCAAGATTTTGCACCAGTTTAACTAAATCAGTTTTTAAAACCTCTTTTTAGTTAAATCAGTTCAAACTTATGTGTAGACAAGGCCTGAGCAGCTGAGGGGAGGCAGCACTGGATACACGCTATAACCTGCTTGCTCTCAGTGTCTGAGAAACTGCTTGTGATGGTTTGTCTTGAATAGGGAATTCATAGAATCATAGAATCATAGAATATCAGGGTTGGAAGGGACCCCAGAAGGTCATCTAGTCCAACCCCCTGCTTGAAGCAGGACCAATTCCCAATTATTCTTATTTGTCTAGTACTTTTAGCAGGTGAGCCACAGAATCTTAGTTTTTCTTCCTTAGAGCTGAATCAGGCATTTTAGTGCCCTGGGTGAGCAAGCATATTTGTGCCCCCTACTGTTTTTTTAAAATTATATGAGTTAGGATATAATAGAGTAATGATAATCCACTTATTTTTGTGTATCGGTACAGTACGTAGACAAAGAAGCTACTGTATAATTCTTTTAGTTGCCACATTAATTTGCACACAGTCCTTTAACATCTCCATAATATCTTCGTATATATCCTTTAAGTAAACTCACTGATAGGTATTGGGGAAAAAAACATGGACTGAAAATAATCGTAACATAAATATGGATACTGCAATGGCTGAATAGCATGAAACATTCAGAAAGACAAAATTGCATTTCTGTTTTATAAACAAATGATACAGGTGGTTTTCCATCACCTCACAGGAGCCTGTGACTAGAATAAGCAGCCTCCTCTCTCAATCACACATCTGAGAATAAGAGGGACCCAAAAGTAAACAAAAAATGAATTTACCACAGAGGTAGATTATCTAGCAATTGAATTACCAACATAGCATCTGACTCTGTATAAGCAGAAGCCACCCTGTCTTTGGCCTTTATATAAGGGAGACAGCCATTTGGGCGGGGGAGGTTGTAAGATTTCTGTTTTTTACCTTTTACATTGTGATTTTATTTTTCTAAGAGGAGTATTGATTATTGTTTGCTTCCTGGTACAATATTATGGTTGGCTTATACCTGATCATTTCTCCTGTTGAATCCTGCCAAGTAAATTGTGATTATGCCCCTTTAAAGGTGAAGGATTACAGCAGCATAGTTTATTTGTATAAGGGTAGTGTGGGAAGTATCATTCCATTGGGGAAGCTATGTTGTGACAGCTGATAAGAGGCCTAAGTGTGGAGACAGAAGAAAGTAAATGGCTGTGGTGATTGTGAAATCAGGTTATACTGTGTTTCAGTGTGTGACAATGCCAATGCCATGGTTATAGCGGCTAGGTGGACATAACACTGAGGTGATAGCGCTGGTCTCGTGGAGAAGGGTGTCAGGAACAGACTGTCTGGGCCACAGCCCAGAATGCTACAAACACAGGTCACAGTGGATATGTTTCTTTGCTAGTGCATAGCTCACCAGCAGCCCCACTCTAGATCTCCACCCAAGACAGATTCCACTGTTGGTCTCTTCCTCTCTACACGAAATGGCTGTTTTTTTATCTGTCTGGGCACAACTGAAAAAGAAAAGCCAGGGTGTGTTGAGCATCCTGGCCCAGTCTGCCCTGAAGGTGTCAATTCCCTGGTGTGTGAGTGCACCAGTTAATGGAACATTATACCAGTGGATCAGAGGGAGGCTCCTTATTCTGTTCTCTGTAATAACAACTGAATCAGGCTGGGGAAGCAACAAGTAAGGGCAGGTCACAGTAACAGGAAAACACAGCTCAAGGAGGGAGCAGGGCGTGAGTGTTGACTAAAGGCATGTTTTATTTGTGCAATGTTTACTTTCTCTTTCGAGGGTTGCTTCCCCTAACTGTAAATCACAAGCAGCCCCTTCAGTTTTCTTGCTTGAGCATAGAAGCCCCTCTGCCCCCTCACCCTATTTTTGCAAACCGTGCACATGGCTCATTCTGTTAGGGCTTTGCCCTCTGCCACCATCTGGCAGAGCCTCACCCCTGAGCTGAACCCCGGCTCCTGCCCTCTCCCTCAGTTTTGCTCCTCAGCCCCTCTCCTGTGCCTGCTTCCAGCTATTTGGCACCCCTCCACACTCAGTTTGCACCCCCTGCTCAGACCCTTCCCATTCCCCCCCCCCCCGAATTTGCCCCCAGTGAGCATGCTCAGTAGAAGCTAAGCAGCACTCAGAACCCTGCCTGCCTGCCGCCCTGCCAGGGTCCTAGTCCTGGGGAGCCTGCTCTGGCTGCGGTCACTGGACTCGATTCTGCAGGCTGCCCCATTTTTGCATCCCCGGCAGCTCTGAGCCCCAGGCGGCTGCGCCACTCACCCCTTCCTACTTATGGCCTTATTCTTCCTGCTCAACAGTGATTGTCTCTTCTCTACCTCAACGTTAAGGTTCTGCAGAAGAAGGCCTTGGTGAGCTGTCGCTATCTGCATGCCATTTATTTGGGCATCTTCTAAACCTTCTATTGAGTTTGGGCTGCTCCATAACCCAGGAGACCAGGTTAAAGTGTACACAATGAAATGGGAGATGGTAGACGCTGACTGGCACATTTGAGATTTTAATTTGCAGTTTGCTAAACAGGCACAGGTACAGAAGCCACTGACATCAACGTCTATGGCTGTTGACAGACAGATGCCTGGTTTCTGAAACCCCCATATATTATGCAATTAATGTATTCATTTGTATAGAGAATAACAGAACATTTCCCCCCATATTGGGTGGAGGCTTGGGCTAGCTGCCTGAGTACATAGCCTAAGGCCAGAAGGTCTTGTACTCCGGGAGCTAGCCTGAGCCACTGCCCATGGTGCCCCCAGCTACACTGCTATTTGTAGCAGGGTGGCTTGAGTGGAGCTCGTGCTGGGTCATCTACCAGACCTCCCAGCTCAAATGTAGACATAAACATAGTTACAATTTTAAAATACAAACTTCTGAACATATGTCCCAATTCAGGAGGGTACTTAAACTAATTTTAAGCATATGAGTAAAACATAGGCAGATACTTAAGTACCCTCCTGAATCAGGGCCATGTTTATTGCAAGCACTGCCCTACTACATTTCAGTGAATGCATAATGTGTTTCCTTAAAAAATTAATTGTGAACAATGTTTTAAATGAAACTATCTATATACATTTGCTGTTAGTGAGAGTCAATAGAAAGCTCTTTGAGCATAAGCAGGCAGATGTATTGTACACACAACCCCTATCAGATTGTTCTCCACGTATGTGTGTGCTTTAGTTTCGCTGGGAAAACAAAACAACTAGCTTATTGAAGTAGATGTGGTTTATAGGTGAAAATTAAGAGAAACACATTTTGTTATTATTGTTACAAATCCAAAAATAAATAGGACAGTGGATTTTGAACACCTAAGATTACCAGAACTAATCATTTTAAGACATAAGACTAAAACCACTAGATGAATAGTAAGGTATCTAGTGTCTAATGACTCAGACAGAAATAGCATAAGGGAATAAATCATTGTGGTGACTACAGTTAGCAAGGAGAGCTGATTGTGGAATTTGTCACGGAGGAGGGTCTTAGGGCTAATATTTCCCAAGGAGGGAAATTTTTTTGTGCCTGGAAAATGCATGCAAACTTGTACCAAAACAATCATGCATTTGGACACACCAACTTCATCTGCACATCTGGTTACACAGATCTGTGTGTGGACCACTGATCTAGATCAGTGGTTTTCAACCCGGGGTACACAGAGGTCTTCCAA